TTTTTTTTTTTTTTTTTTTTTTTTTTTACGCTGTGACTTAAGATAATCGATTATTACTTTAAATAATCGATTATGTGCTAGCCAATTGGTCAAATCCAAATTTTTGAGGCGAATAATTCATTATTACCCGTTGGTAATCGATTATTTACGTTAATTTTTCGAAACACACAAATTTGGGCCAAGTGTTTTCAACCTAAGAAAGACACATCTAAACAATTCATAAATTATTTTCAAGTCTTAAACAATACCATGATACCACTAGGTCTGCCTTTTCCTTTGAAAACTTAACGTGCCAACAAAACCAATGAGTTTGGTCCCCATAAGCTCATATGGGTCCTTTGAGGTTAGCGACAATTTACTTTATACCGAACGCAAACAATTTTCCTTTGGAACATCAATGTGTTTAATTCTACATTTGTTAGAAAGTGTGCCCCTTTTTCATACAATAAAAGCCTGTGACAGCACTTTGGGGGTTTCTATAAACACATTCCTTTTTCAACCCATACCCTAACGGTTCTTTTTATAATTTGGTTCTTACTTTTAAAAACACTTTTGTTTTTATAAACCTTTTTAACTGACTATTTGTAAATATTTGAAAGTAAACAATGATATAATAAATAAAGTTATTATAAATCATTAAAGGAAGTTTCCATTTTCATTCAAACAAAAGTTCATAAATTTTTTAATACCTAAACCTTTGAAAAGTCCTATAAAGTTAAAAGAAAAGAGAAAATAGTGGAGAAAATGCGTTAGTATTTTTTAGTAGCCAAAAAATAATAATAATGTCCGGTGATTTTTGGTTTTTTTTGTAGTGACCATTCCCACGATCCATAGCTTTCTTCAGCACTACGAAAATGCATGACAATAGTGAGTTTTCATATTGGCGTTGATTTTTGCAATAATTGTCAAATTGTATTTTAAAAAAGATTAAAAGAATTTCAATTTTGAAAAGGTAAATTCCAAAGCCGGGACTTGAACCCGAATTTCAACATCAAAATCAACTAGGTGTGCTATTGCGGATACTTTGAAATGAATGTACATAGAAAATTACTTTAATTATTTTTCCACTTAGTGTAGTGCATCAGACAACCATTTTTTGAAGCTTTCCACTGATATCACTTATTTTTGCATTCATACAAACTATCTGTATTTTTGCAAATGATTTTATATTCCTTCGTCAAAAATATATTTTCCATTCGAAGGAAGATATAAGTGATTTATTGAATAAATATAAACAAACAATAATGTCGAACATTTATAACTTTTAAAGAAATTTAAAATACTTTGTTAAACAAAAGTAGATGAAAGATGTAGAATTTATTTCTAAATTACCATAGCTTTACCCAAAATCAATCTACTAGTCCTTTCTGGGACAATTTAATCACTTAGTTCCATCTTGAAGACCGAGTTTACGAACAACGATGAATCGACATCTTGTTAGACCGTAGTAGTGACATCAAACCACAATCTTTAGTTAGACATTTCTACCCTACCTTCTTTATCTTGACAATACAATTGTGTCCGTGGACGTACTTGTTATCGACATGCGGTTCTTATGGGAAATGAGATTATATATGTGATGGTGACTTGCGAAAATCTTGTGAAATTGTGAGGTGTGCGAAGAAATGTGTTTACGTGAAGCGTCTACTTGTGTTGTCAGATATTATATTTTACATGTTAGGGTATGCATAATAGTGCGATAGTAGTCAATATCTTGTATCTCAATTTGTTCCATGAATTTTGATTATTTAGTTGGTACACACAGGTAACAACTTCAAAGTGATCAAGAAGAAGAATAATTTCTCTCTCTTAATTTCTCTAAGGGGAAAAACGTACCTTTTTTCTGATGTGCTTTGTATATTTAAAACAGGAAAATAAACCGTTTACCTGGAAATCCGGACAGTTACCGAAGTGGACTATTTGGAAGTTGTAACTGCTAGGTCGTGTCTGGTACTGAGTCAACTACTTGCGTGATTCGTGGCGTTGCATTAGCTAATATTTGTAACTGCTTATTCTTTACTGCTGAACCGTTTATTATGATGTCGTTCACTATATGTCGATCACTGTTTGGGTCGACACAAACATATTAAATGTTGTGAGAGCGATAGATGTCGCGACATCGTCGCTGGCTTGTGGTCTGTCGCGACATCATCGCTGGCTTGTGGTCTGCCAGTACGTCGACATCAACAAAATGAATGTCGACCTCACAAACGATTGGCGTTTAAGGAGTGTTCGATACTCCTGTGATTGTGAGAGGGGTCGACACTCTATCGTCCGTGGTGTTCGTCGACAGTTGGTGAATTTAGGTATCCTATGGTACAACAAGTTTTCATTTTCATTCAAACAAAAGTTCACGAATTATTTATTACCTAAACCTTTGAAGAGTCTTATAAAGTTAAAAGAAAAGAAAAAATAGTTGAGAAATGTGTTAGTATTTTTTAATATCCAAAAATATAATAATAATGTCACGGTGATTTTTGGTTTTTTTTTGTAGTGACCATTCCCACGATTCAATAGCTTTATTCAAGCATTACAAAAAACATGAAAATAGTGGTTTCGTATTGGCATTGAATGTTTGTAAATTAAATGTCAAATTTTATTTTAAAAAACGAATTTCAATATTTTGAAAGGTAAATTTCAGGCTGGGATTTGAACCCGAATTTAAAAATAGAATTTAACCAGGTGCGCTAATACATATACTTTGAAATGAAGGTATAGGGAAAATTACTTAAATTATTTTTCCACTTAGTGCATTGCATCAGGCCAACATTTTTCATTTCGAAGGTTTCAACTGATATCACTTATTTTTGCATTCATACAAACTAACTGTATTTTTGCATTAAAAGAAATCGCTTCTAATGAGGCGAAAATTGAAGAGATTGATACAAGGAAATAGTCAAGGAAAATAAAATGGAATTGAAGATGTTACCTCCACATTTAAAGTATGTTTTCTTACAAGAAGGTGGGAATAAACCAGTCATCATCAGTAATTCTTTATCCTCTAAAGAAGAAGAAAAGTTGGTGGAAGTACTAAATGCCAACAAAGGAGCTATTGGATGTACAATTTCTGATCTCAAAGGTATAAGCCCAACTTATTGCATGCACAAAATATTCATGGAAGATGAGTATAAAGAAGTTGCCCAACCACAAAGAAGACTGAATCTTGTGATCAAATAGGAGGTTAGAAAAGAAGTGATGAAGTTTTTGGAGGCTGGTATTATATACCCTATTTCTGATAGTGCATGGGTAATCCGAGTGCAGGTGGTGCCAAAGAAAGATGGGATGATAGTTATATACAATGAAAAGAATGAGCTCATACCTACTAGGACAATTACTGGGTGGAGGATGTGCATTGATTATAGAAAGTTGAATAAGGCTACAAGGAAGGATCACTTTCCTCTTCCTTTCATGGATCAAATGTTGGAGAGATTGGATGGACAAGCTTTTTATTGTTTTCAGGATGGTTACTCAGGGTATAATCAAATTGTGGTAGATCCAAAAGACCAGGAAAAGATATCCTTCACATGTCCTTTCGGTATTTTCGCTTATAGAAAAATGCCATTTCGATTGTGTAATGCTCCAGCCACATTTCAAAGATGTATGTAGGCAATCTTTGCAGATATGATAGAAAAGTGCATAAAAGTCTTTATGGATGATTTCTCGGTATTTGGTGATTCCTTTCAAGTTTGCTTATCTAATCTAAATATTGTGCTTAAAAGATGCATACAAACAAACCTTGTTCTTAACTAGGAAAAGTGCCTTTTTATGGTGACTGAAGGTATTGTTTTGGGTCACAAAGTCTCTTCTAGGGGAATTGAAGTTGACATAGCAAAAGTGGAAGTAATTGAGAAACTTCCACCACCTACAAATGTGAAAGGAATCAAGAGTTTTCAGGGACATGCTGGGTTTTATAGAAGATTCATTAAAGATTTTTCCAAGATTGCCAAACCTTTGAGCAATCTCCTTGTCAAAGATGTGCCTTTTGTGATGAATGATGAATGCATGAAGGCTTTTAACATTTTGAAGAAGAAGTTGGTTTCTACGCCAGTGATTGTAGCGCCAAATTGGAATCAAGACATTGAGTTAATGTGTGATGCTAGTGATTATGTTATAGGTGTTGTGCTTGGTCAACGAAGAGAGATGGTTTTTCACACTATCTATTATGCAAGCAAAGTTTTGAATGAAGCCCAGTTGAATTATGCCACTACAGAAAAAGAATTCCTTGCTATAATATATGCCTTGGAGAAATTTAGACCTTATCTCATTGGGTCTAAGGTGATCATATACACGAATCATGCATCTATAAAGTATTTATTAACCAAGCCATATTCTAAATCACGCTTGATTAGATGAGTTCTTTTATTGCAAGAGTTTGATGTGGCAATCCGTGATAAGAAGGGCAGTGAGAATGTGATTGTTGATCATCTATCCAGGTTAGCAAACAGTGAAATCACAAGCAAGGAGAAAGAAATTTGGGAGTCCTTCTTAAATAAAACACTCCTGTATATTCACTAGAGACCATGGTTTGCTAATATGGCTAATTTTAAAGGTGCAGGAGTAATCCCAGAAGATTTTAAAGAAAAAAGTTTTTGCATGATGCAAAACAATTTATCTGGGATGATCGGTTTTTATTTAAGATTGGAGTAGACAATCTTTTGAGGTGTTGTGTTACTAATGAAGAAGCAGAAGGAATTCTTTGGCATTGTCATGATTCACCTTATGGAGGGCATTTTAATGGAGAGAGAACAACTGCAAAGATTCTCCAGTCAGGATTTTACTGGCCTACTTTGTTTAAAGATGCTCATAATCATGCTAGAAATTGTGATAAATGTCAGAGAACTAGAAGCATCTCAAGAAGACATGAAATGCCATTACAGGGAATTCTGGAGGTTGAAGTCTTTGATTGCTGGGGGATAGATTTTGTTGGACCCTATCCACCATCTTTGAATAATTAATATATTTTGGTGGCAGTTGATTATGTGAGTAAGTGGGTGGAAGCAATGGCTTGTTCTAGGAATGATGCCAGTACTGCCATTAAATTTTTGAAAAGGAAAATTTTTGCTCGGTTTGTCGTTCCTAGAGTTCTTATCAATGATGAGGGATCTCATTTTTGCAATACTCAGCTAGCAAAAGTACTCAGGCATTATGGTGTGAGACATAAAGTGGTTGCACCTTATCATTCGCAAACAAATGGGCAAGCTAAGGTGTATAATAGGGAGATAAAGAAGATTTTGGAGAAGACAGTTGCTTCATCAAGGAAGGATTTGTCTCATAAGTTAGATGATGCAATCTGGGCATACACGACTGCAATGAAGACTGCTATAGGACTATCTCCTTTTCAGTTAGTCTATGGAAAAACATGTCATTTGCCAGTGGAGATGGAGTATAGAGCTTTATGGGCAATAAAACTCTTGAACTTTGATCCTTTTGACACTGCTAACAGAAGAAGAAGGCAAATTCTTGAGCTTGAAGAGATGTATTTGCATGCTTATGATTCTTCCAAGAATTACAAAGAAAAGGTAAAATTTTACCATGACAGGAAACTAGTAAAGAAGGTTTTTCATCCAACACAGTAGGTGTTATTGTTCAATTCACGTCTGAAGATTTTCCCTAGAAAATTGAAGTCTAAGTGGTCTGGGACGTTCACAATAAAGGATGTCAAACCACATGGGGAAATTGAATTGTTACATCCTACTTCTGATGATCCACAAAGAAGTTGGATGGTTAATGGGCAAAGTCTCAAGCATTATTTAGGTGGTGAGGTTGAACGCCTTTCCACAGTCTTGGAGTTGGTTGACCCTTGAGCATAATGGTGTCAAGATAGTGACGTTAAATAAGCGCTTACTGGGAGGCAACCCAGTTCTCTAAACTTATCTCTTTAGTTTATGATATGTTTAATTCTTTTTAATATGTACTGTACTTGGCCTAATGAATTATGCTTGAATGGTTTGGATAATGTGTTTGTGATGAGTAAGGTTTCTTGTGCTGCTTTATTGTGTTTATTGATGTTGAGATGATGCATGGTCTAGTCTTATAGACAGGGGGTTGCTCATGATTGTTAGAAATTGATGCATATTGTGGATAATTTGCGGGGCTCCAAAGTTTTTGATTGATTGAATGCTATTGCTTTGGAAGCATGATTGATTTTTCCTAATTTACTATGATTGAACCACTTGTTTGCTTGTTA